CTCTGCCAAGCCATGGCAGGGTTTCTGACCAAAAGAAAGAATTTAATGAGTCCATAGCAAAGCAAATTAAGCTAAGTGCAGCATGATTAGGCTGTGAACACTAATCTTTAGAGGCAATAGTATTTGATTAAGGAAGGTATCCTCCTTAAAATTGCAATAAAAAGTGTCAGGGGGTTTGGGGTGTTTTTTGGAGGGCTGTGTCTCCTGGACTGTAATTTTTCCTTCTGAATATGACTTACTGTATTATCAGTTATGTTAAACACCTATTGTAGAGTTGATCCCTCCTGTCCAATAGCTGACTTTACTACAGCAAGAAAACTGCATGTTGAGTTTGGTGACTGCAATTCATTAAGGAGATTATGAAAAAACTTATTTTCCCCTCTTTCTCTAATTGGGAAACTATGAAAAAGTGAGAGTATGTTACTCAAGAATTAATTTCTAATTATCAGAAAAGTAATTGGAGAAGTAGAACACTTGCTACCTTTGTCAAAAATTAAAAAGCCTCTATTTCAATTCTAAATTTTGTTTAAGTTTTCTAACACAGAATGTTTCCTACTACAGGTTAAACATTTGAATATAGTTCGGCAATCAAAGAGTCTGTCAATAATACAGCAGATAATACGGAGTCTGTAATCATACAGCATTTGATTTTTTCCCCAGTTAAAGTTTGGAGAGTGAGCACTTCTGATAGTGTTCTGTGAAATTGTGTCCCTTCCTATGTAAAAGATTTCAATATGTTTAGTCTGTAACACAGCACCTTCTTCTTTAGAAAGGTCTTGTTTTCTTTGTGACACTTCCATGCAGTCTGTTTGCACCTCTGCCACTGTGCCTCCCCCGTCATCTCCTCCCAGTCTGTACCTCTTGCTTTCCTACTTGGTGGTTTGACCATCCTACCCCTCTCAACAGCTGCTTCCTCTACACACATTTCAGACTCAGGCTTTAATTTAAATTCTTCATTTCTCAGCCCTTCTCATTCTTGTCTCTATCTCAGCACTTTGCCTCTGCCTTTCCACAACTCCAGCAGCAACAGCCCAGGTCATGGTAATATTTGCTTTTCTACAAGTAACTAACTTCATGTGCTCTGCCATGCTGTCCTCACACCAAATACAATCCCCAGACAAAAAGGAGGTAAAGCCACTGGAGTCTTTTTCTTGAGCCCCTCCCAAAGGCTATTTGCTGTGACAGCAGTGAGATTCCCAGTGTTGTGTTTTGGGATGGAGATGACAAGCCTGGAGGCATGCCCTCACCTGAGCCTGGGCAGAAGCTCTGTTGCCTGCCTGGCCATGCTGAAGGTGCTGTCTTCTCTTTGCCCTCCATCCCAGTGCAGTAACTCTCCTCCCTCTCCAGGTCCCGGCTCCAGGTGGCAGTGCCCGCTGTGCAGCCCTGCACACCCGTGGGAGCTGTGTGCAAGGCAGTGGGTTTGCACCTGCTGTGTGCAGGAGCCCCCAGCAGCAGAGGTGCAGCCACAGTGGCCCCATGGCTGCTCCCCTTGGCCCAGGGCCTGCGAGCTGCCAGGGGCTCTGTCCCCAGCAGCCCTGGCTGGGGGTGTCACAGCTACGCCGTCCAGGATGGCAGCAGCTGCTTCTCTTTGATGGAAGCCCTTCACCCAGGGCATGTTGGTATATATGCCACGTGCTCCTGCTGTGTTTGGCTAGCGAAAAGTCTTTGGGGGTTTCTGGCCAGAGGCATATATTGGGGCATTTTAATTCAGGGCTGTCTGCATGGTGCACATTGGCTGTAGTCAAACATGACCTTACATAACCGAAACCCACAACTCACGGAGTAACACAACAAGCTGTTGCTCCTCTTCCCTCTTGATTTTTTTTTAAGTTTTGGAGGGAAGAGAACTCCACACTTTCACAGAGCCACAGGCAACATCACCTCCAACACAGAAATAATAATAGTTATGCCATTTCTGTTACTATTATGCTGAGCTCTTTCACACAGTGGTTTTCCAGCCCTCGTAATAAAATGAGGACCTGAAAAAGCAAGGGCAAACCACTCTGAATATAGTATTACCCTTCTCTCACAGCTCAGAAGAGTAGATAGTTTGCACAGGTTGTCTTGGAGTTGTGTTCTTCCTTTCAGATTGTTGAGAATTCACAGCTGAAAACTTGGGTGCTCTCCTCACATTTACAAACATTCACTCCTCACATTCACAAACATTCTTTAGCACAAAACTGGGAGCCATTGCTGGTGAAATCAGAAGCTGGGTAAAATCACAAGGCTCTGTGGTCAGATTTAACCCCGGCTGGGAGTCACACAGTTCTGGTCTGGTATTTACTCTGAAGTCACTTCTTTTGGAAGGGAAGTGAAACAGGCACTGTGCAGCAGAAGCAGTTCAGCAGGAAATTATCGTTATGTACTGAAGCAAGCCCTAAGAACAGAACAAAGCCAAGTAGAATTCAGCTTATTAATCCTTGTAAAAAGGGGGAGGGAAGAGAGAAAAGACATGGCCTAAATTCACTTTTGTCTCTCAGCACACAAAAGCAGCAAGGTCTGAGAGGCCACCGAGACGACATCAGATATCACAGTAGTGCATGTAGACACTTGTGTGCACGGCTGGGTGTGAGCTTGAGGAGAGGTCAGGGGAACAACCAGGAAAGTTTGTGACTGTGGGAGGGAGGGGGTGTTCACACACATCCCGTAATAGTCATGGGTGGTTACCAGAAAAAAAGGACTCAGATGACTCAGGGACTTGAAAATAATGGTGAGAGAAGGTTTTTCACGCTCCAATGGACAGAAGTACTCCAGCAGGACATGGACACAGGCTGTGGGACTATAATGCAGACAAGGAAGCCATTAAACAGGAAGGTCACCCAGACACACAAGATCTCTGTACCACATAAGCCTTATGTTAATAAACACTGATATTCTTTTTTACTTAAACAGCCAGGTAAAATTAATTTTTTCTTTTTTTTTTTTTTTGGAATTAGCACTTTGCAACAAACCCAGGAATTTTCTGGTTCAGGAAAAATCAGATAATCATGAAATAGTTTATTTCAGCAACAGATGATGCTAAATCAGAAGTCTCCTCTGCAGGCTTTCGGTAGAACTGTTCACCTGCACTGTGGTAATCTGGTGCTTTACTTCTGTGTTCTGTGCATTGCTTGCAGCTTCTGAGCCCTCAGTTGTCTCCAGTCTACCCATCCATCAGTAATTATGGCATTATAGAATGTTTTGGGTTGGAAAGAACCTTAAAGACCATCTAATTCCAGCCCTCTGCCACAGACAGGGACACCTTTCACTAGACCAGGTTGCTTCAAGGATGGGTCATCCACAATTTCTCTAGGCAACCTGCTCTAGTGCCCCAACACCTTCATTGTGAGGAATTTCTTTCTAAAATCTAGTCTAAATCTATCCTCTTTCAGTTTAGAACTCCTTCTGAAACTTTTTAACATTTTCAAGTAACAGTTTTTGTAAGAATGTTTGGTTTTCATGCTCTTGACTGTCTAACCATGGAAGCACATATGCTCAAAGACAAATTTCAGCAAAAAAATATGGTTACCTTTACATTTACCTTGACTTTCATCAAAGTTCTGGGTTGATACTCAAATTCAGAGATTGCTCTTGTTTCTAATACTTATTCTGGTACAGGAACTGCTTCAACAATGGGTGACAGATGTCAGACACCAGTTTCCATGAGATCAAACTAATTTTTGAAAAAAATTCCTTAAAATATTCCCATTGGGCCATGATAGGGCAAAACAAAAAGTAAGATTGGGCCCTTGACCACCTTTGATTCAACATTACCCATGTTTTCTCATCCCAGGCTTTGGGCAGCTGCAGCCTTCTCCCACAGCTGAGTGAACTCCAAACACCAAGTGCCAGCATCCAGCTCCATGTCTCTTCACCTCCAAAAAGGACACAATAATTAATAATTGATGATGCACAAGGGAAAAAGAGGAAGCAGACTACTAGGAAAGATAAGAATTAGCAATGGGGACAGAAGGAGTAATTAAACATGACAAAAGATCCACACACCTATCTGGGAACTAGGAACAGAAGGCTCTGTGACAGGAGAACAGTTGAGGCCACAATATTTTCTCTGCTCTCTCCCTTTCTTTTTTTCCTTTTCTTTTTTTAGAGAAAGACAAACACACAAAAAATCTACATCATGCTGGAAAAACTAATTGAACTGTAAGCCATTACAAGAGTTGGGTTTGCACTGAATAGTCTCAAAGGGTGTAGACTCAAAATTGGATATAGGAAATCTAAAAACATTCTGCTTGCGTGTCTAGTCCACTTGAAACCTAGAGAGAGTGACCAGCTCACTCTCAGGCAGGAATACTCTTAGTAGCACTAAAGTCCAGTTTTGAAAGTTTCTGTGATAATCTTTTCATAACTGATCATCATATAACAGCAGCATAATGTGTCTTGTTGCAATATTTGAAGAAGATCCCTACTCTTACCAGCCCCTTTAGATTCATAGCAGCAAGATGAACAGTACAACATGGATTTGAGGTGTTATACAGAAAGCATATTTATCAGCTTAATTTCTTTATTTGCACTGTCCTGTAGTTGGCTAATGATGAATATTTGCATGTTTCTGTTTCTTCCTATTTTTTCAATATTACACAGCATCTTTTCAGCCTAATCCAAGAGTTCAAACAAATTGGTTCTAAAGAGCAATTAAATCCTCCCTAGCTGAAAATTAATTACAAACCTACAGTGTAAAGGTGAAATTCACCCAGCCTATGTGAAAAATGGGGACTGTATATACTTGAATGAAAGACATGGCACATTAAAATTCATGCTTTATTTTAGTCTTAGTTGCAACATTCTAAGCAATTTACTGTTCTTTAAAAAATTAATCAAGAAATGCAAATGATTAGCATTGCATATATCAATTAATGAATAAGAACAAGATCAAAATAAAACTATGATTCTGATTATACATAACACGGCAAATGGAAGAACTTGGAACACAGTCATAAATGGACACAGAGACAGTTGGTTTGACTTTTAAATAAGTACGACTTTTAAAGTTATATTTATGTTGTTTGAGTATAACTCACAACAAAAAAGGCAATTCTTGCTGTTTCATCTTTCCAGTCCAGGTGCACTCTACCCTAAGAAAGATCTCTTGACAAAGTCTATTCAGACGATAAATTCTGTGGAGAAAAACATGGGATGTGACCCACATTTGGCAGCATCCATGACCAAATCCCTCCAGACCTACAGTAACATAAGCAACATTAGTGACCATAATAAACATTATCTCCACATTATCTATATATCCATATACATCCAAATTATTATTTATCCATAATAAATATTATCTGTAGGTTTTTCCATTAGGAACTCTGATGAAATATTTGGCAGGTTAATTAATGGGATTCACTAGAAGAAAAACTAATGGCTTAGTCTGCTCTTGGTAAGTGAAGGTCAAATAAATCTGTGCACCCTAAAAGAGACTCTTAACAACAGCAGTAAGAAGTGCAAGTTGCCACAGACCTGATGACTTACACTGCCTGGAAGCCAGCCACCCTCTGTACCATGTAATGGGGCTCTGCCATCCCTGTCAGACAAAATCCCTGCTCCTATAAAATTAGAGAGATTATATGAATTTTATAGGCCTTAATTGTGGGGTGTTTCTTTTAATTCTATTAGCTTAGTCATTAGTGGTTTGCTAATAATAGCCTTGACATAGCCAAAATATCTACTAGTATTGTTCAAAGCAGCAGAGATGGAGAAGAAAGGGGTGCACAGTCAGGAGCACCTTCCCTCTAGCCAATGCTGATACGACTGGGTTTTTAGCAGCACTTTCTACTACAATGGCCAAGGAGTGGTATTTTTTTTCTTTTTTTCTTCTACTTCCATAAGCTTTACTACATTTCAGGTTTTCTTTCTTTCTTTCTTTCTTTCTTTCTTTCTTTCTTTCTTTCTTTCTTTCTTTCTTTCTTTCTTTCTTTCTTTCTTTCTTTCTTTCTTTCTCTCTTTCTCTCTCTCTTTCTCTCTTTCTTTCTCTCTTTCTCTCTTTCTTTCTCTCTTTCTCTCTTTCTTTCTCTCTTTCTTTCTCTCTTTCTCTCTTTCTCTCTTTCTCTCTTTCTCTCTTTCTCTCTTTCTTTCTCTCTTTCTTTCTCTCTTTCTTTCTCTCTTTCTTTCTCTCTTTCTTTCTCTCTTTCTTTCTCTCTTTCTTTCTCTCTTTCTTTCTCTCTTTCTTTCTCTCTTTCTCTCTTTCTTTCTCTCTTTCTCTCTTTCTTTCTCTCTTTCTTTCTTTCTCTCTTTCTCTCTTTCTTTCTCTCTTTCTTTCTCTCTTTCTCTTTCTTTCTTTCTCTCTTTCTTTCTCTCTTTCTTTCTCTCTTTCTTTCTCTCTTTCTTTCTCTCTTTCTCTTTCTCTCTTTCTTTCTTTCTCTCTCTCTCTCTCTCTCATCCAGATGTAGCTTTTTCCAAAATTCAGCTGTTTAAACTGCAGACAGAAAAAAACCCCATACATTCTACCAAGTGTGCTGGAGCAAGTGGAGAAATCTAGAAGGAAGCATTGAACATTGATCAAGTATTTCAGACAGAAACCACACAAAATCGTAGAGTGCTCTGACCCTATTCTCTCCCATCTGCTACCACTTTGTTAGTACAAGCTGAAGCTGAGCTGACAGAGAAATCATCTAAGCACTCCCAAAATGTAGTTGTTGTCAGAGCCATCTTACTCTGCATTAACAGCCCCTGAGCCACCAGGGAGGTGCTACTGACTGCAGCAGGGAGGGAAGCACCCAGTTATCGAGGAATGTCCACCACCTGGGAACAAACCTGTTCGTGCCCACAAGCTACTGCAGTGGCACCAGTTTCATGCCATCACACTTCTTTTCACATCAGCATCATGAAAAATTTCACAAGGTCAAATAGTTTTCCCCTTTCAAGCTGAGGATCTTTATTAAAAATTGAAATTTTCATTGATTTGTGTGCTCTTGTTCATAGTTTTCTTGTGGAAGGTAGAAGAGCAATGATGAAAATGTCTTTACAAAAATCTAGATCTCTGACATATGGTGTTTCCATTTTTCTCTATTATAAACTGTTTCCATTCAAACAGGTAAGAAAATATTAATTTTACTATACATCATTGGAATTCATACTAAAAAAGTTCATTGGGTTGAAGTCTCTAAGCTAACAAGACAGCAGGACATCTACTGCAGCAATCAGGGCTCCATTTCCAGATCCACACATTACAGCTGTCACAAAAAGCATTATTTTGAGCAGAGAGCCTGCCATTAGCAGCCAGCATCATAGTACAGTTGTGGTAATAATTGGAAGAAGAAAACCAAATTTTGCATACCTATCAATAAGCTCTGCTTGCAGATGGAAGGATGTTTTTTTCCTGTTAGCTGCAGCCCTGCAAAGAGCTGACTACTTGAAAAACAAGCTGGGGGCCTTTTGTCTTTGTGTTGTCACAGAGTCACAGTGCTGGAAGAGACTTTGAGAGGTCATCCTGTGCATCTCCCTTCCTTAAGGGATGAGCTGTTATTCCCACAGTTTCTGACAGACACTTTGCCATTAATCATCACTGTTAATTATGAGCCTGGAGACTATGTTGTACCCACAGTGCTTTTGGTGGGGACTGTACTGGTGGTGCAGATGCATGGCATCATAGAAAAAAGATTCCAGCTTTCTGCTCCTTACCTGTGTTGGCTTAGAGGAACAAAGAAATCCAGAGGAGAAGGGAAAGAAACAATAATTTACGTTAGCAAACCATCAGGATTCTGAACACAAAGGTGCTTTTTGTGGTTTGGGTTACTTTTAATTAGGATCATACTTTGTAATAGTGATCATGAGAGCTATGCATGACACTTCCTAGCAAAATGACTCAAATTCCTGCCCGAATTTTTGCAGTATGCAGTGCTTTCAAGCATAATGGGCTTAGATCCACAAATTTGCAGCTTGTAAGCTATTGAGACTATAGCAGAGAGATCCAGAATACCAGAAAGAAAACTCACTTGTTATCATTTCAGCTACTGCTTATGCAAAATTCTATAACCACTGTGTGTGTGATGGATGCAAACACAAGCCTTTGCCATGCCCATCAATGCAAGGTAGGAGCAAATAAGAGGTGTTTTGAATAGTCCAAAGAGCTGACTATGTAGGGGAAAAAATAATGAAGAAATGTGCTAGACAGGATGGCAAATGGCTGAAGAAATGTCCTTTGCAGAGGCAGAAGGCCTAGAGGGTAAGAAGAGGAAAGGAAGGAAGGTCAAGTGACTTATTCAGCTTCTTCTGCTGCTCGGGATAAGAAAAATATTTTCTTCACACCAAGTCAGCAAAAGCATTTCCTGACATCTTGATCTCTTTGCTGCTGTCTCTTTTTCAGTAAAAGCTGCTTTCTAAAAGGCATTGAAAAACGTGGGTGCTGGTCAAAGGAATGTATTCAACTGTCTCCAGGCTTAATGCTGACTCTGTTGCCAGAACACCCAGGCACTTTCCATCATGCTCCTGTGCCAAGGGTGAGTCTCACTTAGGCAAAGCACACTGTGCAGAGCAGGTGGAGAGTGCAGGGAATGGAGCAGCATGAGCCAGCAGCCAAGCAGAACCTGGGAGGGCTGGCATCAGGAAATCTGATGTGTACAAAGCCAGGTGTGGGTGCCTGATTTAAACCAAACCCTTAGACAATTTCTCTTCAGGCATTAAAGCCTGCAGAGTGTTTTTGGGTTTTCCTCCTTCCCTGCAGGCGAGTCTGTAGCTGGGTACAGCTCAGGGTTGTACTCTTGCTGCCGTTCAGCTGCTGTGAACCCACTGAGTTTTAAACTCATTAGTGCTGTGTGAAACAGCAGTGAAAATATTTCTCTGAGTAAATCAAGCAGCAAAGGGAACCTGGGGCAGGATTTGTCTCTGCTTTTTCTGAAATGTAAAAGGTAAATGGGCACTTCCCTCTGCACTCAGGTAGAGCTGATTTTACTCTTATGGGACGAGCTGTTAATAATTCCAGATCTTTCTTATTCAGGCCTTTTCGTACGCTTTTAGTGGGAACAGGTGAAGTTCTGCAGTGCAACTGCCTAAACTGAAAAATCTGTTTGCATGATTTGCAGAACTCCAAGAAAACAAGCTTGAGAAAAAGCCGTAAATATTTTGTATAAATGTAAACTACCCCACTCTCTAGTAGGATTCGGACCCGCGGTTCCCCCTGCTGCTAGGGCTGGCCGGGGCCAGCGGCAGGAGGGGAAGGAGCGGCGGCGGGCGGGGGAGCGCAGGGTGGCCGTGCCGGGGACGGCGGCCGCAGCTGCTGGAGCCTGGCGGCGGCCGTGTGCTGACACCTTCCAGGACCTGCGCTGACGCCACTGTCCCTGTCCCTGCCAGCCCCGAGGCAGAGCAGTGTCTCCGGTCCGGATTGCCAAGTGATGAGCGTCCTGCTTACCTCCCCCTCACAAGGATTGCTGCAATTCTGTCCTGTTAGCACACTCCGAACAGACAAATTATTAGGAGCACGCGAAGCGCCCCGGCTGACCCGAGTGAACTCATCACGGCAGACTTGTATTTTGCTTTTCAGGGTGCAGAGCAGTCCTGCCGAGGCTGGACAGCAAAGCTATCTGGGCATGGCTAGCACGCATCCTGCCAGCCAAACCTGCCGCGCTGATCCTGAACCTGGAGTGAGCTGGGTCAGCTGCACCTCCTGCCTTGGGTTACAGGGAAATGCCATGCAGCAGCACCCCATGACCTGCTGTTTTAGGGAGATGGCCATCTATGAAAAACTCTAATGAAAAAACAGCTTCCACCAGGTCTCTCCATTATGTGCTCATTCCTTTTTAAGTTCTCAAAGTAGTTTTTTCCCCTTACTTTTTTTTTTTATTATTTTTTTTTCCTTTCTCCCCTGTTGCTAATGAGCACTTGAGAATTTGATTTAGCTCCTTGGAATGACTGCCACTTACTGCTAGAATGTTAATCTGTCTAAACCCATTCAGCTTCTCTTACTCGGAAGTCAATCACCTGGAGCCTGCATTTTAAGAGATGCTGGCTAAAGCAGTCGCAAGAGCAGAGATGTTTTGGGACAATTCCCACAGCTGGGAGTAATCTCGGGAAACTCATAGCTACCAGGCGGCAGACACTATTGAATCCCCGGGATAAGCAGAGCTGGAGCAAGCCCCGGCAGAGACCAGAAGCTCAAATGGAGGGGAGACAGGAGGCTATTGAGCTGCAGCTCCCACACGGGATGCCGCACCGGAGTGTTTTGGGGAACAACCTTTAGTTAATGGTGAGAATATACCCAAAGAGGGCGTAGGCAAACCAGGACAGAGGAGGTCCGCCAAGTCACAGCTGGAGATAAAGCTTTAAAGTGTCAGAGGAGGAGTCTGGCTTTCCAGAAGTAATTGGAGAGATGATTTAATTTGTCTTGTACTGTCCATTTTTAAACCCGTTTGGAGAGGGAGAAAATGCACAGAATTCCATACTAAATGTAGGAGACACGGGCATAGACTTGGGATAGTTGATGATGTAGTGGAGCCGTGTGTCTGTGAATCATTCCACCGTGTTGTTCTGGAAATGCTCCTGTTTTATCTTCCTTAGAGCAGCCCCTGTCTGTCTGTCGGTCCGTGCTGCCGGGCCAGAGGGGCAGCACCCCTGGCCGCGAGTAGGAGAGACAGCATCTGGGGGGTGCACTGGGAGTGGAGGGGACCATGAAGTCCCTGACTACCAGAATTGCTCCTGGGCATTGCTTGGCATTTTTTTACATGGGAAGAAGTGCGTTTTAGCTGTGGTACACCCCACATCTGTCACTGTCCCTTCACTCCTTGTGCAGCTCTCTGATGGCAAACTTGGCAGAGAAAAGATGTAATAATTTAATAGCAAGAAAGGTTGCTTTGCTGCTGCTAGAGAGGAGCAGACTGATCCTGTGATCCCATGTGAAAAACCACATTTTTGGAATAAGCAAATGTTCAGAGTCATTATTTGCTCTTTGAATAAAATTGTTCTTTCTAAATAAGAAATGTGTCTTTGGAGTGCATCTCCAGAAACTTTATAAATGAGAAATGCAGAAGGAAGGTCACAGTATCGATTTTGTCAGCATATGGAACCTTTCATGAAAATAGACAGTGTGAGGTGGAACTGGGATTCCTTTAGGTACGTGTACATTTATCTTCTGTCCTAGTTCTGAAACAGAAGAACATCAAATATTAAAAGTCAAATGTGCCATTATTATTGATTTATAAGCAAAATGGAAGATTATGTCCCTAAGGTTTAGGAGTCCTATTTTACACGAGACCTAATGTTAAAGAGCAGGATCAAAAGTATATTTTAGCTGTTGCATGTAAACCTGCAGTATGCAGGCACAGTAATACTCTAGTATCTAAGTTTTGACACAGAATTTCCTTAAATTACTTATTAGTTAGCAGAAGTCATTTGAGGGATTAAATATAGCAATATCAATGTGGTTCAAGTTCTCAACAAAAGGGTTTTTTTATTGTCTGCAATGGAAGAGCTACATTTGTGAATGTACTTCTAATTTTCCATAGATTCAAAAGGAAAAACTGTGGGAAGAGCAATATATTTTGCTTCTGGAAATTTCAGAAAAAAAGGATGGACGCACACTGCTGCAGTTTACCAGCAATGCACCCACTGCAGAGTTCCTCAGGGGAATGCCTGGTAGACAGTTGTACTAGCAACCTGCTAAACCTAAAGCCATCAAAGAAAACATCCAAAAATGGTCATTGTTGAAAGAACAAGATGTTTTCACGAATGAGCCTGTGCTGGAAAAAAAGAAAGAGCATGAAGTTCAGACAGGTTTCTAAGCTAATTTTTTTTTGAGGCTAATTTCTTCATCAATTCTTGGTGAAGAGATTAAGAGATGGACAGATTGTAGGTACCTGAAAAAGATTTCTAAACTCCTGTCAACTGGAGAACCCATTTCTTAAAACTGAATAAATCTTCAGCTTATTTCAGCTCATAGGTTTTAAGCTTTTTTTAAAAAAAAATTAATGATTTCTATTTTATTTTAATTATTTGAGATCTAAAGCAGATCTGGTTTTTTGACACACAAGTATTCAGAGCTTTTGGCAGTGATGGGAAGAAGATAAAACAAAGCTATTTAATGTCTGGATAAAATAACCAGACCTGCCAAAAAATGTCTTTGGGAGGTGGAGAAAGCAGTCTTCAGGTTTTTCTTTATCTATCATTGTGGCTGAGGCACAGATGAACACCTGTACCAGTGATGGCTGTGGGACCTCTGCTTTGCACCTCTCTGCACAGGGGCAGTCACCCTGGGCTCAGAAGCATAGAGGGGACCCAAATCTCCCAAGCCTGGCCAAGACATGCTCCTGCTGCTAATGCAGCCCCTGCAGAAGGATTAAAAGACCTATATTAAAAGATTATGTTTGAATTCACTCTGCAAGTATATCAGAGGTATCTAATTTTAAAGATCTTTAGAAAGTATGTCAACCACAAGCTTGATCTTTCAATGATTTGCATGAGTCCCATTCCTTGAAAAGTAAAGGTTTGTTATAAAAGGTTGTCAATGACTGGGGTTAAGCTGTAAGCTGATCTGGAATTTTTTTAATAAAGTGGCTTTTATTTGCAGAAAGCTGCTGAGTAAAGCTGTTACAATGCCACCCTATATTTAAAACCACTGTTGTAGTGTTTTAGATAGTTAGGCACACATTTAACTGTGAGGTCTGGCAGAAGACATGCACCAAACTCCAGCATGCAGCACTGGTACAAGGTATACTCCTCTTGTATGTGTGGCTGCCACAAGAAGTGAAATTCCATCAGTCAAACATGACTGCCTACAGTTTGCAGGTATATTTTTCCAACCCCAATCTGGAACCCTAAAGAACATCAAGATCCAGCAGCATAGTCTGATGCTAAGAGTCTCAAATGCTTTGCATGGGAAATTGTCTTCCTGAGCTTCAGCAGACTGAAAATGTGCAGATATAAACTTCTTCCAGCTGAACTTGACATCTCCAGTACAAACTTCTCAGCTGGGCTGGTTATCTTCTGCTTATGGAAATCTCATGCCCCTGAGCTGACCTCACTTGTGTTAACTAAAGAAGTCATTCTGGATAAAACCTTCTGCTAACATTTTCTTCTGTGTGTCCTGACCTGGGGTTTCAAAACCATGGGCCAAACCCTAGCTATTATCAGCCTCAGGAAAACCTACAAAACAGCTGCCTGTATGAAAATTCCTATGTTCTTTCCCACACTGCTCACCAATTACTAGGAAACACAAAGCACACTTCTCTTGGGATGTACAATTTCTGACAGAATTATTGAGTTTCAAAAGAGCAACACATTTCCTCCCATCTCTGCTGGAGCAAGCAGAGCTCCTACCCCTTCAGCCTGATTGGGCAATTCAGCTTTTACCACATTCTGGTCTCTTGCCAACCCCAGGAGCCCAGCACCTTATCTCCAGGCAGGTTAGACCTTTTGGGTCACAGCCAAGCTCCCAGGTTCCCAAGTAACCATTGGCTGCACCCAGGACAACGTATCATTTCATCTGCTCTGGGCTCTAACAAAATTTTCAAGCCCTTCCCAGAAGGGAAAGGCCTTAACAAAACCCCCCAAAACAATACAAAAAAAACCCCAAATCTAAAACCAAACCCACAAAACCCCAAACAAAAACTGTTTCCAGGAGACAACAGATGGGAAAAAAAGGGAAAGGGTGTAAACGTTACAAGGTCAAAAATTGATCTGTAGAAGACTGGAGGGAGACAGCAAGCAGAGCATCCTTGAGAGCACACTTGACTACTTGAAGCTGTCCAGAGAGGCAGTGGCCACCACTGGGTAGCTCTGCACAGGGACTCACTCAAGAGGACTTGGTGTGGACACAGGCCACCAAGGTGCCTACACAGCTCTCTCCTTCTGCTGGTATGTGAGATCAGTATAACAGGGCCAGGAGGAGTTCCTGAGATTATAATGGTGTCTTCCTCTGTCTGCTTACTCCAGGACAAGGAAGGTCTTTTGTTATTAAGGGTGTAAATGTCCCTTCAAACCCTCTGGAAGGTACACAGCAGCCTTTTGGCCCCATGAACTCCCATGGTGTCATCCCATGAAGTCTGTCATGTGGCTGTATGAAATGGTAGGACAGACCTCCCATTTTCTTGCTCTGAGGTGGACAAAGCTGTCTGGGAAGAACTGGAAGAGACAGATGCAGAGCTAAAAGCTCCCTTTTCCTGTCCATGATTTTGAGAGTGGGTATCAGCACTGGGGTATTACCTTGATGGCAATGCAGAGCAGCTCAGAAGCAGCAGCTGCCTTTGAATATGAGTGCTTTAGAGGAATATGAGCTCTGACAATGTATTGCTGAGGCCGGAGAACACCCTTCAAATCTGAGCCCTTTGAATTCAACAGAAAACTGTTCAAAATCCCTCTTTGCTATTTAAGGCAAGTCTATCAAGCTGGAATTAATAGTGCTGTGCAGAAACAATACAACTTACAGCCATCAGGTTACAGGGGAATAACCTTATCTTCCTCATAATGAGTTGTATCATATAATAGTGACATAACTCACCTGGGTGACATGGCAATCGAAACCAAGAGGGCCATGCTCCTTTGCCATAACAGGGGTTGTGCTGTACATGCATATTGTGCTTATAGGGTTTGGCTTCTCTGCAAGACCGCTGTGGTTAGTTACTGCTGCTAAGTGCTAATCCCTGGGAGCAAGGGTGGGACAGAGGGAACCCCAGCCTTTGTGCCTTCCCAAGCACCACAGGAACAGCACAGCACACACTGAGCCTCAAGCCCCAAATG